TCACTGTAAGTGAATGTGAGCATCAGTATCTCAGATCCTGTGTCGCTTCACATAAGACCAGGGACCTCTTGTAGATACCAGAGCTTATACTAATCCTTCTGAAATGTAATCTCTGAGTTGGGACTTAAAAAATCTGTAAAACTGCGTCTAAAACCTCTTACTATAGCAGAGAGAGTCCTTCTGCTACTAATTTATTTATTCATGTAAGAAATCCTTACTAACACTTACCAGACCTAGTGCTCAACTTTGGGGATACAACAATGAATAAGAAAGACATAAACCCTGTCCTTAAAGAACTTACACATTCTAGGGGGGTGATAGACTATAAACAAGTAAACAAACAAATGACTATATAATTTCAAGTTATGATATGTGCTATGCGATGCCTACCAGCCACAGACCGCCAGGAGCACACTCACACAAAGTTGGGTTTATTGGTACCGGAGATCTCATTCTGTGGGAAATCATGGGGCTTCTCAATAAAAAGGTATAGGCAGGGGCCTTTTACAGGATTTGGACTTATATTAGGTCATTTGGGGAATATTCTAGAAGTATAGCTTTGCTCTGGTTTGGGTGTTTTCAGAAAGTAAGGGCAATTCTATGATTGGGTCTTTTAGTAGTTTTTACCCAGGAAGTGGAAGAACGGAGCAGAGTTAAAGCAGTGGTTGGTGAAGAAGCAGCAGTCACTCATATTGTGTGTGAAAGGTGGATAATTGATCATTCTTGTGGTTTGCAGTGTTCTTGTTTTTGTTTTTGCTCAAACATGATTATAGAATGGTCTTTTGCAATCATGGTTAGAATGACTCTGCCTTAAGATTTAGTTCATGAAATTATTCATGTTTAACAGAAAAGCACCATGACCAGTCGTTGGTGCCAGGCCAGCTCTCAGCTGATGGCTGTCAGTGGCTGCTTTTCTTTTCTTCTTTTCCAAATACGAAGAAAAATAAAGCAAGTTAAATAGAGACATTAACTCAGAGATGAAGGTTATTTGAGATAGGATGTTAAGAAAAAGCCTCATTGGACATATATCACACGTGCAAAAATCCAAATGATGTGAAGGAATAAAGCATGAGAAAGCCTGAAGATAACTGTAACAATTAAAATAATGGTTGAGATGGACCTTGAAGGTATTATGCTAAGAGAAATAAGTCAGAGGGAGAAAGTCAAATACTGCATGATTTCACTCATAAGTAGAAGATAAAAACAACAACAACAACAAACACATACACACACACAGATACAGAGATTAGATTAGTGGTTACCACAGGGGGATGGGGGGAAGAGGACAGTGAAAGGGGGAATCAGGCACAAATATATGGTGATGGATGGTAATAAGTCTTTGGGTGGTGAACATGATGTAGTCTACACAGAAACCGAAATAAAATGATGTACAGCAAATTTATATAATGTTATAAACCAATGTTACCTCAATAATAAATAAATAAATAAATAAAAGTAATGGTTGAGATGTTGTATCAATGAGGCTGGAAAATGCAGTGCTTTAAATAAGTTAGAAAACCATTTCTTTTTCTAGTAACAGTCTGGTTGGTCCAGGACAGTGAGGCAGCTTTGCTCCACATAGTCATTAAAGGGCTTAAGCTCTCTCAATCAATGCCATCCTCAAGAGAATAGTATTCATTTATCTGGTTAAAAGAAACTCACATTTAAGACCAAAAAAATGAGGAAAAAATCAAAGTTCAGGGAATGAGGTTTCTCTTTAGGTTGTAAACGACCCATGAGTCGTACACACTTTTTCCACTCAATATTCCATTAGCTCCAACTTAGCCATTCCTAGAGACAAAGGAGGCTGGAAATGTAGTCTCTAACTGGATGTCTTGTGTGCTCAGGAAAAGATTTCTGCCAGAAGAGCTTTCCAGAAAAGAGATTTCAGCAACTCTAAAGGCTCTGGAGCAGAAACAACCTGGATATGTTAAAGAAATAACAAGAAGGCCAGAGTGGCTGGAGAAGAATGAGTGAAATTAAACAGAGAAATAGGCAAATGCCAGAGTATTTAGGGCCCTCTAAGACAGAATTTGGATTTTATTTAAAACGCAATGGAAAGACATTGTAGAATTTTGAGAAGAGATGTGTGGCATAATCTAATTAATGATTTTTAAAAATGTATTCTGCTGTGTGGATGTAGATGGATGAAAATGATGATAGGAGAGCAGCTAGGAAGAAATCGCCATAGTACCAGGGGGAAAATTTGTGGCTTAGGGCAGTAGTGGTGGATGTGGCAAGAAGTAGATGGATTTGAGATGTATTTTGAATGCAAAGCCAACAAAAGTTCTTAATGGGTGAAATGGCAGGTGTGTCCTGAAGACAGGAGTTAAGAATGACTGCTAGAGGGTCGGCCCGGTGGCTCAGCGGTTAAGTGCGTGCGCTCCGCTACTGGCGGCCCGGGTTCAGATCCCGGGCGCGCACCGATGCACCGCTTCTCTGGCCATGCTGAGGCCGTGTCCCACATACAGCAACTAGAAGGATGTGCAGCTATGACATACAACTATCTACTGGGGCTTTGGGGGAAAAAAAAAGGAGGAGGATTGGCAACAGATGTTAGCTCAGAGCCGGTCTTCCTCAGCAAAAAGAGGAGGATTAACATGGATGTTAGCTCAGGGCTGATCTTCCTCACAAAAAAAAAAAAAAAAAGAATAACTACTAGATTTTGAGCCTGAGCAGGGGCTGGGACCACTTGCTGAGATGGGGAGTGAAGGAGTGAGCCTCAGAAGAGAAGGGACAGTCCCTCCATTGAGATGGACAATTCTGCCACTGCAATGGAAGAGAGTGTGGGGGGAACACAGGGTGGTTGTTACATCAGTGGTAGGGAAATAATACAATTTTCTTCTTACTGCTTTTAACTTTTAGTGAAATAATCAGAAAGTGGTGTGATGAACGTGAGGGGAATGACAAGTGTTGCAATTTAAGGAAGAAGAGAAGGTAAAAAAACAATCATCTGTGAGAATTAGAGGCAAAATTTATTAAGTAAATGTAGTAAGAATGCTAGGCAGCACTAAGGACCCAATTGAGATTCGGGATCACAAATTTTAAGTGTGACTCTGCAACAAGGTTGGGTGTTTTTCTCTGGCTATGCTCAGTTTCTCAGGTGAGGTCAGAATCAAGGGGAGATTTCAGTTTAACTAATGGTGTTTTCACAGGCTCATATAAGATAGAAGGACAGCACACTGAAGGTAATAAGGGGATGATTTTAACTTTGGACCATAGTTACTAAGTTTACTAAGCCAAGTAAAGAACAAAGTGAGAGCATGATTAGAAGATGAAAAGTGAAAAGAGGTGGGGTCAATGGATTAGATGGGATCTTAAATGTTGGAGTTAGAGTGCTAGATTACATGAACTGGAAAGAAAAGGTGACGTGTAGACAGTAGAGTGCTTGAAATTGAGATTTGGGGGAGGTTGAATTTATCAGTAGTGAAAAGTTCTATGGTATCACCATGGAGGTGATTGGATGAAATGAAATGGATAAAAAATTTATTATGGGGCCAGCCCGTTGGCATAGTGGTTAAGTTCACGCACTCAGCTTCGGCAACCTGGGGTTCGCAGGTTTGAATCCCAGGAGCAGACCTATGCACCACTCATCAAGCCGTGTGCAGCAGTGTCCCACATACAAAAAAATAGAGGCAGATGGGCACCAAATGTTGTCAGCTCAGGGCTAATCTTCCTCAGCAAAAAGAGGAGGATTTGCAACAGATGTTAGCTCGGGGCTGATCTTCCTCACAAAAAAAAAAACCTTTATTATTAGAAGTGAGGATGTCAGGAACAGAGAAGAGAGATTATTGGACGAATCTTGCACATGAGTGTGGAAGTCCTCAAGGATAATGAATGAAGCAAGTAATTAGGAGATCAGTAGTTCGAAGGACAGAGGGTTGGTATATGAAATTGTTATGCTCTCCAGTTTTTGGAGGAGAAAGGAAAAGTGATATGAAGGTGGCCAGAAGAACTCTCAAATTTAGTGTGTTACTAATATGTTCCAGGCACCATTCTAAGCATTTTACATATATCAGACCATTTTATCCTCCTCCAGATCCCATTCTTATCCGCATTTTGTCATTGAAGAAACAAGAGAGGTTAAATAAGTTATCCAGGTTTGCTAGTGAACAATGGCGCTGAATCCAGGCTTTCTGACTCCGGAGTACACACTCTGAATCACTATGAAATAATTTCCTTCTTAGGATCAATGCCTTGGGAACTTTTTAATGTTGAAGCTGATAGGATGGTGAAAGATGGTGGGGTGGGGATTGTGAGGTCGTGGTTTTACCAGAAAAACTCAGAGATCAGTGGACTGCTCTTAAATCCTACTGAGTAGGGTTTAGCCCAAGGGAGGGGTGATCTCATCAAAATTACATGGAGTTCTGAAGGCTCCTTAATTCCAGAACAACTCAAATCCTGATATTTTCCTTCATAGATGGCTGTGGACTAGTTGCAGCCCTGTGAGGAGAGGTCTTCTAGATCCCTGTGAGAGTGAGAGTCTAGGAAGCCACTGCTAATGGTGCACTATGAAGGCTGGGAGGGATTATGAGACCATAAGTATGGTCTTAAAGGGAATTTAGAAGGGGCTATTTCAAGTATTCCTTTTGATCAAAAATGCCCTCTCAGGGCCGGCCCCGTGGCGCAGCAGTTAAGTGCGCACGCTTCCCTGCTGGCGGCCCAGGTTCGATCCCGGGCGCGCACCAATGCACTGCTTGTCAGACCGTGCTGTGGCGGGCGTCCCATATAAAGTAGACGAAGATGGGCACAGATGTTAGCCCAGGGCCAGTCTTCCTCAGCAAAAAGAGGAGGATTGGCGTAGATGTTAGCTCAGGGCTGATGTTCCTCACACACACACACACAAATGCCCTCTCAACTGGGAAAAATATTAGTAACACAAATTCCTCAGTGAAGTTAAAAAATAGAGCAATCATTTACTGGATTGAAGTGTGAGGGGAAAAAAGTCATTAAAGGGTAACTCTTCTAATGGAAGGAAATCTGCAGAGATTCATGTGGTTCTGATGACTTGTTATCTTTTTATTTGCTATTAAATTCATTTAACAGAAACACAAAGTCAGTTGAAGATCATTCATTAAGATAGGCATAACAATAGTTCATTAATCATTCTTTTAAGATGACTCTATTTTATCACTATCACGTTGCCTATTTCTGAGACATTCATGAGTGAGTCTGGGAAAAGAGCAGGTATTTCTCTCAATTCAAAAAACAGTCAAATAATGAAAGAAGTATTGTTACTTTGTTTTGGGTTAATGATATGTAGGCTAGACTTTGTTGTAAGACTCTGTTATAATCTCTTATAATTTGGCTTAAAATGTCAAACATTTTGACTGTTTAAACAACCCATTAAGTGCTTGGCAAAATTGCAAAGCATTCTACATGTGACTTAACATCAATTATACACAAGGCATCATGCTCAATATCTAGATTTATTTGAAAACATTCAGGCCAATTTATATTAATGCAGAAAAATCACATCCAATAAATCACAATTGTAGAAGAGACAAAATAATTGTGTTCTGTCACATTTCCACACAAATACAATTTGATATTTAATTAAAGGATGATAAATCACAATCACATGTAAATAAAATATTCATCTTCTCAGTAGTAATAAGAACCTCTTTTGAGTATGTAGGGTCTTCTGGGTTTATTCTCATATAGCTGCCGTTTCAGAATGTAAGGAATTTTTCTCTTTATAACTTCTTCCTTTTCGTTTTTGTCATTTCCAGTATCAAGAACATCTTCCTGAATTAACTGCAAGATAGATAGAATGTGAAACAAACTTACATGCATAAAGTCTTCCATTTCAGAGTATTTTTCTACATTTTATCTTATTTGCTATTCAGACAGTATGATGTATGTAAATGAGATCTATGAGATCTTAATATATTTATATACTTAAGCAATTAAGTGTTTTGTCCAAGGACAGATGGCTGTCAAGTGGCTGAGATAGGATGAGAACATGATTTTTCTGATTCTCTGTTCAGTGTTCTTCCTAGTTCACCAGGTTTGCCTTTTAAAAAAATGTCTTTGTATGTCAAGGCTATACACTAATACCTCCAATTGAAGGAACACCCCGACTTAGCACTTTTCAGACTTCAACTTATGATAGACCCAAAAGCTATAGAAATATATCATAAATCACAACAAATACAGTTTTGAATCTAATAAACCAAGTTTGGCCTCAGAGGTCAACAGGATTTTATATTCAATTAAGTTAAATACTGACTTGACTTGAAAGCTTTCCAAAGATCCATTTCTCAATCATAGAGAGAGGAATGCCCGCTCTGCCTCATTACTCAGTTGTTGTAGAAACTAACATATGTGAAAGCTCTGTTTAAATCATAAAGATGTCTTTAGATTGTGGTGCTTAACAACTGAAAGCAAGTTCAAATTCAATAACTCAAGGGAGTTAATCTCCATATAGAATCTTACCTAAAATATCCCATTGAATATACACCATTCTAAAATTGGTTCCAAACACTTTTTCTGGTAACACTGTTTTTATTCAAAACTTTCAGCTAGCATAAAATATTTAAGAACTCTTTCCAGAGTTTTGCACATAATTTACATGAAATGAAAAAAATAAATAAATGCTTAAGAATTGTATTCATATTTGTGATTCTCTCCTAAACTTTAAGGTGACTATAACTAATATTAAGAGACTAAGTTTTTAATTATAATGCAGATACATTGAATCAGATCACTAAGTACTTTATTTCACCCCATAGCTATTCAATTTCAGAGAAGGAAAAACCACTACTGTCAGACAATCTACTTTCTTAATCTTTTGTTCCTTTGTGTGTTTAGCCTGTAATTACTTGTGCAATGCTATGAATGATATTATCATCTTATTTTAAATCAATGACATTTAAAATAGCAAAGTTTTAATCTTATGTGCACCTGATTTGTCTATTTAATAGTTTATTGAGGGTTTTTTTTTTTCCTGGATAAATAGCATATAATTGACATTTCCTTAAGTTAAAATTAGTATTTTTCAAGTTTTATTGGCTTAAACAATATTTTAAAGACTAAACTATTTAGCTGGAATTTGCATTAAGGTATGAATAGTCCAGCAAGTAAAATTAAAACTGGCTTTTTTGGTTTTTCAACTAGAAAACATCTTTTTGTTTACAAGTTAAAATAAATACTAGAAGTTCTGCTTTGCATTTCCTCTTTTCCACAGGGTGTCTCTGGGATAGTCTGTTATTCTTAGTCAGATATTAGCAGAGAAGGCACCCTCAGAGCCCCATGGCGATGCAAACGTGGAATATAAAATATTAAGCAAATTTCTCTTAGAGGTTAATATGAAAGAAATGTCTCCTTTGTTGGGAAAACTTTTTAAATTTCTTCTTTGTTTCTTTAAAGTATTTTCATTTCTCTTACTCTCCTCCAAACAAACCAAAGGTGGTGAGTCATCAGTACAGTATTTAATACAACAGAGTCATCCAGTCCTTCACTGCGGTTCTGGATAATGGAATTTGGCTGTCTTGGCTGCGGTGGACCTAATTTAGGTGCTACAGATGCCTAAAATCCATGTATTCAATTGAAACAAGAATATATATATATATATATATATATATATATATATATATATATATATATATCTCAAATGCCAACTTTGCTGATTACTACATACTTATAGGTATTCAGATCAGTTTTTGGACAATATATTCTCCTCTGTTGGGTTTTATGTTTATTCTTGTTCTATTAATTCACCCATTTGACTACTGCAGCTTTAAAATACATTTCAATATCTGGTAGAGTAAGTCCCTCCTCATTATCTTTTAATTTTTCTAAATCTTCTTGGTTCTTCTCACACATTCATATTAGCTGTATATATATATCCCTATCATTCCGGTTTTATTTGCCTAATATATTCAAATACAAACGGAACTTTTTGTGTTTTGGGTATGTCTATGGATAAACACACGACTTAGTGTTTCTAAGAAAACATTTTGAGTTCCCTGAATTTGTTAAGCATGCCACTACCACCAAAAATAGCCTAAGCATGACACCCATTATGCACAATAAAAGCATATGGATCAAATCTGCGTTAAGATATATCCCTCTTTTAAGATTGAAGAAAAAATATTTTGTTGAACTCCAAATATGTGAAGGACACTTTGGAGATCTAAAGCAATGTTTATCTCAACACATGGTTTATTCTTCTTTAATATTTTTAAGTCTTCCTGTTATAATAATGATCAGGATTAAAAAAATCAGTACAAATGAGAGCTAACTAGTATAAGCATAATAATATTCACGTTTTGTTTTTGTTTTACCTCCCAGTGTTGAAAGTCCCTGCTGTGACAGATTTTTTGGAGCTGATATATTGTCAACATTGCTTCAAAGCTAAAGTCATCTAAGGAAGTGGGAAATTTCCTTCTTGCAATAAGCTCCTCTTCACGAAACTCTCTGGTTTCCTCAGCTTGGCTGTTCAGGTTAGCTACAAGGCTGCAAACATTTAGCAGGGTAATTTTCCAAGAGGGCACATTTGCTTTACTGATCTGAAATATAGAAAAAAAAAATAGATATTGCAGTTAAAACTTGTTTTATATGAGTAAGAAATAAATTTCTATTGTGCTAAGCCATTACATTTTAGAGTCTAATTGTAACTCTAGCCTAATAAACACATTGTTATTAATTTAGTAACTTCATATCACAAAGTTAAATAGTGCCAATCCTCCGTTTTAAAGAATGCAATAGTTATGCACACATGTGCGCACACATACAGGAGCAAAGCAAGCAAGAAAATATAAATGCCAGTAAGTACAAATATATAAATATACATATATACATGTATACATCACAGATGAAAATATTAAGAATACCATTCTCTTTTAATTATGCTTCACTTTAGTGTCTAATGGAGCAGAGACTAACATAATACTAATAGATTTGGACAATTACAGTAGTGTGAGACCACTAATATATTCCACACGATAATGTTGTTATAGGCAGCATCACAGGTGACCAATTTATTTATTTGCAAATTATAATATATTCCACAATCACCATTCTTTTCCAGTAAGATCTTATCTGAAACCATTATTACCATAATCAGCAACTTTCTTATGTGCCAGCAATAACCAATGAGAAGACACAAGGACTTAGGAGAACCTAAATATGAAATAATTAATAAAAATTAACAAAAATTTCAAAGGTCATAAATGAAGGAAAGCATAAATTTTTCCTAAAGGACATAAAAAATAAAAAGGTTTGAATGACCACAAAGCCTTGATGGGGAGACTCAATAACAATAGTATCAGGTGTCAATTCTCTCTGAGTTACTCTCTAAGTGTAATGCAACGGCAAATCAAAGTTCTAATTTGGAAAATATGTGGAGACTGGAAGTTAGAGGAGGGGATTTGGCAGATAATTATAAAGTTAATTTGGAATAACCAAGATTTAGAAAAATTAAAAGATAATGAGGGACTTAACTCTATCAGATATTAAAATGTATTTTAAAGCTACAGTAATCAAATGAGTGAATTAATAGAGTAAGAATAAACATAAAACCCAACAAAACAGAATATAATGTCCAAATTGATCCAAGTACATATGAGTATGTAGCAATCAGCAAGTTTGCATTTGAAATCCTTGGGACAGTTGGCTATGGGGAAGTCTGGATTTAGATCTAGTTACAACTTTTCTTGACATATTATAGTCTAACAATATCCAGATGGGTTAAATAAGAGTAAAAATAAAATAGTGTATAAATATATAGAATTTATTTTAAAAATCTGGAAAGATATCATTAAGCAAATATCAAAACCAGAATCCATAAAGAAAATACAGAAATGTGTAAAATATCTCTCTGGAAAATTAATAACCTGAACTAAAATCAAAAGCAAGCTATATTGTACAAGCTGCCGCAATATGTTAATATCTTTAACACAGGTGGAGCTCTTCAAAAAGAAAATGGCGAATAACCTTATTTAAAAAAAAAACTTAAAAAAATTTAAACCTTGGATAAGTAATATAAGCAGAGAAGTCTCAGAATCACTCATCAAAGAAGGAATATGTAAAAGAAATATGGGGATGATGTTCAACTTGGCTACTACCATCAGATCCGAAGATTTTAAAAAGTGTAAGTACACTCAATGGTGTACTTATGGGGACAGGAAGAAATAGACACTTCCTCTTCTAAATAATTGTTGGTCTGGGTGTAGGTTGGAATCACTTTTTGAAAGGTGTTTTGGCAATATGTATTAAAATTGTAAATGCGCATACCCTTCGATTAAGATTTCATCCTAAAGACATGCAAATTGGTAAGTGTAAAGATATTATTCATTATAATGTTATCACCCAGCATGGAAATCCTTTCAACTACCTCCCTTGAATATGATTATCCAGTCATTGCTTGAATATTTCTGCTTTGGGAAACTTGGAGGCAGCATGCTCCATTGTGCGGCAGCAACACCTTATGTCCTGCCAATGAATGGGATATGATAATTTTGCATTTGGAAAGATCTTTCAAGATCATCTCATTGACCGCTTTCTCAAGCGCATTCCTTAGAACACTAGTTCTGCGCTCACTGTTTTTAAAAAGGAGTTCCACTGGCAAATAATTGGAAAACTTGAGTTTAAAGGAAATTTAAAGACTTCTTGAATTTAGGTATCCTCGGAGCTTTTCACTTGGAAATATTCACTGTAAATTTTCAATGGTGCTAATATTGTATCCAATGTTCCCCAAACTAATTTGACCACAGAAAGCTTTATTCATGAAGTATCTGTCAGGACTAGTGTTGCCTGATTATTTTTTGGATGAGGAAACTAAGTTAGTCATCTTGTTCCCTTCTGCCAGTTAAAATGGTCTCTACAACACTCACTACTACTGCTTAATGTCACATTAGCCCCTGTCATACCTAGGAAGCACAGCAGAGAAGGCACTCTTGACCAAAGGATGTCTAAGTAGACGTATGTTTAAGAACATTTTGTGTAAGATTTAAACTATTTCACTCAGGAAAATGACAAAGACTCTCTCCCTGACCAAATCTGAGCCAGGCACCCTTGAGCCCTCTCAGTGACTAGGTCCTTACCTAGGGCGTGGATTGCTTAGCCAAGTTTTAGCAAGACTCCTGCTTAGTCAATTTAGTGAAAATGCCTCACCTTTGGTATCTGGTAACCCTAGATATCTGATAAAATATCAGATTTTGGTCAGATTTCCACCCTTGATATCAGAATCCTGTTGAGTCATCTAGCAAGAATCCTCCTAGCCTTAACGTTTCCTCTTAGCAATTTTCCATCCACTGACCCTCACCTTGGTTATAAATCCACACTTGTCCTTGTTGTATTCAAAGTTGAACCCAATCTCTACAAAACACCCCTTGCAGTAGTCCTCTTGAATAAAGTCTGCCTTACTATCTTTAACAAGTGTCATGTTGAATTTTTCTTTAACAATAAACATTCTCATTTATTAAATTATTTGATACAAATGTTTATAATAGACCTAAGCCTACAGATAAGAAATTTAGAATATTGTCTCTTCTTGTTTTTAAGATGGGGAGAACAAGAATATTTGTGGTTCCTCCTTACCATTATTCGATTTAACTTTCTAATACTGAATAAGATCCTGGTCAAATTTCTGTTTCCTTGATTAAATGAGACCTAATCTATGTGACTAATACTCTCTACCTGTAATACACTGAACTCAGATGAGTACAGCAAGCGGCAAATTCAAGCATTTCACCAAATTGAAAATAATTAAGTTCATCTGTCGTGGAGCCCCAAAGTTTATATAGTTGAATATGAAAGGTAAGGGTTAGTAATGAATCCTAGATTCTCATTGTTAGTTCATAAATATTTATTAAACTCCTACTGTATACAAGGCATTGAATCTAATCAAAGAAAATTATAACATTTCCACAGCTTTTTGAGACCCTGAACAAAACACGCTGTACAGGTTCTCTTTCTTAATAAAACTACACCAGGGGCTGACCCGGTGGCGTAATGGCTAAGTTCGAGCACTCCACTTTGGTGGCCCAGGGTTCGCAGGTTCAAATCCCAGGCACGGACTGACATACCACTCATCAAGCCATGCTGTGGCAGCATCCCATATACAAAATAGAGGAAGATGGGCACAAATGTTAGCTCAGAGCTAATCTTCCTCAGCAAAAAGAGGAGGATTGGCAACGGATGTTAGCTCAGAGCCAGTCTTCCTCACACACACACAAAAAAAACTACACCAATGCACTAGTATTGGTAATAAAGACAATTGCATTGTGAGAAAAAATTCCTTTATCTTTCACTTCTTTTCAGGCTTCGGAATCTCTCTTGGCCTTCTGTTGCTTAAGTGTACTTCTACATTAGAATTTCGGTGTCTAAATAGCTTTACTCTAAAATTGAAATTGCTCACATATTTGCCTTTAAAATAAAGAGAAGAAAGCTGAAGCTTGCTGAATCTTTTAATAATGGAGTTATACCAATATCAATACTATTCTCTTAAATTTTTTAAATGTAATAATTTGGTTAAAATCGTCATAAGTTTAGAGTTTTCATTTGCATAGGACCCTACTATACACCAAAAACCAATTGAATCACAGAGAAATAAGTGATGGTAGTTTTGTAAAAAATAAACAATGAGCTTTTTGTTCTCATCCTAGCAGCAAAATTGGAATAATTAGGCTTCCAGGTGTTTCCTCATCATCAACTGTACTGTATTTACTTATTTCAATTAAAAGGAGGCAATCAGATTCAAATTTTTTTTCCATTATTTGTTTTAGTGATATATCCCATGAATGAATGAAAGAGAAAAATTTTATTGTGCTTATACTTTTGTTATGTATTTCTCTTAAAAGAAATTCTAAACCACTCCATATACTGGAGTTGTTTTTTCCTTGCAGAATCTTGGCCAGGGAAGGAATCACAACTCTACTCCCATATGTTCAAAAAGTAGCTAGCACTCCCCAAACTGTACCACGTTTTGGAGATTATTTAGGAGATTTATGTGTCCTTGGAATTATAGAGGTGAAATCTCTACCAAGACACTAAGGTATTCTAACCTGCCCCATTTTCCAACACAGATTATCGACTACACTTGTCTTCCTATTTTTGAACTGCAGTGATTGTAGCCATTGCTGTTCTGACTAGGTGCTAAACAAGGGATCTGTTATCATAAGGTTAAATATATTTGTTCACTGAGTTTTAGACTAAGCTAAATTAGATCATTCCTGATATGAAACCTACCAAATTGTAGTAGAATTTTGTTTCAATCCATTCAATTTATATAAATCTGGGCAACCGTGGAAATATTTGTATGCTTAAATTTTCCCCAAAAGTCTTTTTAAAACTATAGTAGAAAACACATCTTTGTTAGCTTTCAGATGATAATGCCCTAAACTCTCAAACACACACAAAAATGGGTATTCTCTCTTCACACCCACTATCAAACACAATGCTAGTTATATACTGGGGATTGTTGTATCTAGAACATGCTCATCCAACTAGAGAAGAGAAATCTGAGGTGGCAGGACCTGAGTTGGAGTATTGCTTCAGAAATTACACAGGAGTTTTGAGCATTTACTTTCTTACCATAACAGCTGTTGAGTCCTCAGCCCTGGCGTCCCAGTGCTTCAACAGTGATTGCAGTGATTGTGCCAGATGACACCTCATCTCAAAATTTGTTTTTCTTTGAGAAACATCTTTTGGTTGGGAACCCTGTTTTCTAACTCTATATTTAAATACACACGGATTGACTCATTCTGGGTAAATCAATATTGTGTGGTAGCCTGGTAATCAGGTATATTCTAGTTGAGTTTTATTCATAGGTGTCAGTTGGGATCTAGGAACCTTGCTTTCAAGACCCCAAGAGAGGAATAATAGAGTCCAGTATATAAAGTTTTACTTGGTTCAGTAAAAACAATGAACAGGTACAGATAATACTTCTGTTATAGAGAGGATTTAAATCCAGGCATGGATTTAATGTAAATGTATATGAGATCATAAACTCTAACTCCGGTATTTAAAAATAAGAAAACAAAGGCAAGTAATGTGAACGAACCCACTTGCATAAGATCAGTTCGTTCATGAGTTACAGTAGCAGATTACATCTCAAGGCTTCTCTTTGCCAGCCTATGCTCTTCGCTTTCTACCGCATTTCTTTCATGGACTGTCGTGAACTTTCATTTTTAATTTAGGAACTCCATTTTACTTTCTCCAACATAATAAAAAAGGCAAAAATGTCACTTAATTTTCATTTATGTATTTAACTTGAGGCCAATATATCTTTCATCATACACAATGTGATAGGAATGGAAATAGGATTCCTTTAAATCCATTTACATGTCCACATAAATAATATGTGACTACTTAGTGAAAGTTGCAATATTGATTGATAGCCGCTATAACTTCTTTTCCCGTCACATCAACACCCTTAACTCCTTTGAACTCAAGGAAAAGTTTCCCAAAAAAAGGAAATGCCTCCCAATGCACAGAAGTTCTTGCCTTCATGGTCTTGATGGGAAATTATTACTATAGGAAAAGGATACCACGTTTATAGTGAGAGTTCATATGTTTTTCAATCCTTGGTTAAAGAAAAGAAAAAGTTACCTTTGATGTACGCATATTGGTCAATAAATCAGCCTCTAATGCTTTCATTTCCTCTTCTGAATCTGAGTAAAATCAAACCACATGTTTACTATATGATCACATATCATATAATTATATTATAGCCTACAGATTTTAGATTAATCTCAAAAATAATTTAGTCTTAGAGGCTTATTGTCTTTCCTATGTATTTATTCTTCTTAAAATAGAACTCAGAAAAAACAATTACAGTTTTATTTTAGGCTAACAGGCAGCTAGAATAATAGAAGAACTTCGAAGAAAATAAGCACATAATTATACACCAAGAGAGCTATTTATGATTTGATGTTCTTTAATCTCTGAATCTCAGTATAAAAAAACTGATTATATTATATAATAGGGATTTCATCAAATATGCTGGTTAATTTTTACCAGCAATAGTTTACATAAATAAAATACACGCATATTCATATTTAAAAGGCAACATAATGAAAAGGTGTGTACAAAAGACTTTTTCAAGACAAAACCAAAGGGAACTGCTTACTGATAATTTTAGAATAAGAAAGAAAATGAGATTTATTTAATTTGAGAAGCTATTTTATAAAACACACTTTGAAAGATTTGTTTTTCTACTTTAAATGAGAATTTAGAATTATATGTACGAAGCAATTTTATCACAGGCCATTATGGAAATTATTTAAGCAAAAGAGTTGTCCATCAATACACATACAATGTGTTGAAAATGGATTTCTGATTTTTTTTTTAGAATATCCTTTCCAGTTTCCACTAATGAATATTTAACAGAGGAGAAAAATTTTAGAAATACTATAAGATAGTAGAAACAAAGTAATAGAACACTATGATAAGGTGACAATTCATACTCACTGATCTATATGTCATAAAACAAAGCAGAAGTTAAAAAGACTATCTTTCCTGCATTGCACACTCATTAAAAAAAAGTGTCCCACTTGGAGAAACTATCTGTTAAATTATATCTAGAAACTAAATTATACCAGGGATCTTTTACTCCTATTTGTTAGGGACGCGATCTATTTTTCAAAAGGAGTGACAAATTCCTTTAGCCATTTATAAAAAATGTATATCAAAATATCCATAAATTTTGGCTTATCACAGCAAGAAGTTGCAACAATAAACAAGAAGTTTCAACAAATAAACAATTTAATCAATAACCCAGTTTTTCTCACATACTCTAAATACACCTGTAACCTCATGTAACTACTAGATAAAATCATAATTGTAGAAAATTTGGTATTTATCTCATAAAAAATTTGCGAAGTTCAAGATCTTTTTTCTAATGATCAAATGAAATTAAAAATTTTACTAACATTTATATCTTCTGCTAGATTTAATTTCATACTTTAAATAAAATCATAGCAGAAGTTTGAATCGAATATTTCCATGTTATATTTATAATATATAAGAGTATAAATGAGATTAAATGCTGCATTTATCCCTTATGTTTTTTATTTTTTCACTTTGATGTGATCATTCACTTATTTTTCAAACACTAATTGGAGCATACTGCAATCGTTATAATACTTCTTGTTACTCTTTTAAATTTAAATGTTTTTTCAAGGTGAGTTATTGATAGATATTTAGCAATATATGGCTTCTTCTTAATTATCATGTGCAAACACTCTAAACCCAGATAATTTTCATTAACATAAGAATGCCAATTTTCCAAATACATTTTGTATCAATTTAAACTACATGCAAAAAAACAAACAATTAATAGTATGCCTATTTGTCACATAGAAAGACATATAAAATATATTCTCAAAAGACTTGGAATCTTTTTGTATTTCTCTAGAAATAATTTTCTACAAATAACGCTTCATTCGTGTATTCATTAATCATCAATTTTCACTTTGTTGTCTTAACACACACACAGTTAAGAAAATAATTTGGGGAGGGAGAAGCCACTGCTTCCTAAGAGAATGACTGAGGATGAGATAAAGCATTTCGAATGAAATGGGTTTTAGTTTTCGGTTTGCTCTTGGGCAGACACGGCACCTGTACTTCTCATTAGACAGTGACCAGCCTAATTTAACTTTTATGGTTTTTTTTTTTTCCCTAGTGGTTACATTCCAAAGGGGAGCATGAAGTGTTTCATTGAAATCCCTTTTATTACTTTGAAGATTTAAAAAGGGGAAAGAAATCGTTCAGTTCTTGTAATCATAAAGACAGGGAAAGAAAATATTCAGTTTCCATCACTAGAAAGCAAATCCAGAACAAGGGAGAAACTCTTCTCCCCGGATACATTAATGTAAGTGGCAACACACTGCAAAAAAGGAAAAAGAAATCACTTCAAGGAGCTGTGAAATGCAGCTGACCTTACCTGAGCACAGACTCCAGGAGCTGAAAGCCAGGAGTATCACGCACACTAGCTGGATTTTCATTTCTGCCGTCATCTCCTTGAGCCTTCTAGCAAGCCGAGTTCCTAAACGTCCGAGACACGCTGAAGGGGGCTCTAGCGCTTCCTCTTGCCTTCAGCTGACCTGGAGTGCCTGAGCTATGAGAGATGCTTTGGCCGTTCCCTATATATACATGCAGGGAGATGATGTCATGAGAGTACAGGGATTATCTCTTCAGGATGTGCCCTCCCTTCATCCCCATCCCTCCTCTTCTCTCCCCACTTCCTCCTCCCCTTTTCCTTTGTCCCCCCACCCACCTCCCCCACTTCTGAACCTCGAATGAAAGTGACATCTTCCCTAATTGCGGCTGCTGCTCCGGATTTCTGACGCACAGGAGTGATTCAAAAGTAATTTCCTATAGAGCATACTGGAAGAGAACTTCCAGTACCATTCTGTCTCCATTTCCTCTCATTCTCTGCCTCCAAGAAGTTGTCATTTTGATTTTGTGAAGCATGAGATCTATTATTTCTAAAATAAGCGAAATCTCCAGGATGAATGCATGAAATCAGTGATTCGCTAGGTTTGTAAGTTCTTAAAGAGTTAGAATTCTTTTCTGATAACCCACACTTTTGAGCAAATGTTTTGTGATTTAGGGACTGATATAGGTCTTAGATAATACCTGCTAGAAGAAAGAAGTGGAAGAGAAGCAGAAAATCAGTTATAACATTCAGGTTAAGCAAAAGAATTTAAAGAAAGGAAAGAAATTTAAAAAAATGCAAGACTAGTACCTCTAAGGAATAGGATATTATTTCCTAACAAAAAAGAAAAATTTAAGTAACGGGGAGAATGATGAATTATGCTTGCTGACTTTTGGTTGAATGCCTTAGAAAAACAATTTCAAATTTATAAAATCCAAGCAGGTGGAAATATGTATCACTGTATCACTGATTGCTGTTTTCTGACAGTGTCTCCTTTTTCTATCTGCATTGCTCTCTAATCTTTTTGGATTCATTCTTGAGGCTATATGCTATTCTTTGTATAATCCTCTTCTCACTGTTTTTCACCATTGCATCAAATTTCTTTCCCTGTTGTAATTATAAAAATGAGAAGGCACTTCCAGAAAGGAGATAGTCCTAAATAACCACCATCCACCAAAGTCACTTTTCTAAGATAGTGTCTTCACATATTTCATGAGTTATGACGATACTCATTCCCTCTCTGGGTTCTCAGGAGAAAATTGCTCAAAGTGTCTTTTGGAGTGAAGCTTTCTTTTCGCATTAAATATTTTGAGATACGTGGAATGATCTGAAAAGAGGATGCTGTTAGGAATGTGAGTAGTTGAAGGTAAAGCTGTCTGAGACTTGTTCACTTTTTAAATATATCAATATAAACCATGTAGTAATAACAAGAAAAAAAATCTGGATTGATTTCTATAAAAATTTGATTTATATTATACAGTATATGTCTTTGAAATTAACTTCCCCTTTTACCCTAAACTTGAGGAAAGAGATTAATTCCAAATATTTAATAATTATGTAAAATAGCAAAGAGTCATTCATATAATTTAATGTTCAGGAATTTAACAATGGCTGATATTTTTATTACTTTTAGTTTGTTTTACAAACTTACGTACAATATTGAACACGATTCACTTGAGGAAAGTTTTATATAAAGGGTGATTGGCAAAGAAATGTGATATATATGTCTAAATTTTTGCTTTCCTGCCACTAGGGGGCGCGATAGAAGTTTAAAAGGCTTTTTATTTTTACTTAACTGATCACATCAGTACTCTGAGGATTGTACTTACTGTCTTCCCCTTGCCTTTGTGATAGGATCCTTTTAAAGCCACTTTGATGAAGAAATCAAGAACATATATTCTTTGCATGATATTTAAATTGGTTGTTTTATCTGCTTTTGAACTGCAAATACAAAGAATAATCTTTTAAACTGTGTGATAGCAGCCTCATAGTAAAGAGAAAGTGTGAGTCCTATTTTCCTCAAGTGATTTCTTTAATACATGAAGCTCAGGGAAATGTTAACAAATTTATTCCTAATTAATTAGAAAAAAGAGGGCGAATGAATAATGGAAATTCATCTTGTTTTAAGTATGTCACTTGAATATTAGTTGTCAATGTAAGAGTTGTTTTGAATATATGATAAATCTGAGAGAATTGGAAGAAAATGTATTAACTAATGCCAAATGATTCAAAATCAAATAGACGCTATACACTATTTTTCTTTTGGGAGAAAAAGATGTGTAACTTTTTGTGGTAAAATTATGATATAGATAAACTTTATCTGACCTCTAATTGGTATTTTTAAAATCTATTACCCTTTTCCTTTTTAGCCTCAATGCCTTCAAGCTATAGAAAAGCCAATTAAACAATTTGTTTTAAGAGGGTAGGACATGTGTGCATATTTGCCTTTAAAAAGTATTCTGGGGGGTTGGCCCCATGGCTTAGCGGTTAAGTGTGCGTGCTCTGCTACTGGCGGCCGGGGTTCGGATCCCGGGAGTGCACGGAGGCAACGCTTGTCAGGCCACGCTGTGGCGGCGTCCCACATAAAAAGGCGGAGGATTGGCAATAGATGTTAGCTCAGAGCTGGTCTTCCTCAGCAAAAAGAGGAGGATTAGCATGGATGTTAGCTCAGGGCTGATCTTCCTCACACACACACACACAAAACAATATTCTGGGAAGTACCCAAATGATGTCTTTAATTTAGGCCCCTTTCTATGGAGATGGGTGAACTATTTTTATTCTAAAGGCTTTACGCCTAAAATCCTTTTAACTTTTATTTAGCTCTTAACTCATAAAAAGTTTGAATATTACTCTCTGATAATCTTCATGTGTTGGCTTTCCAGTTTGAGGTCACCTGGGAGTAGCTAATTCTAAATAGATTTTGTCTATTTATCTATCTAAATAAGTTTATCTGGGTACCTGTAGATTGCAACATCTCTACAGTACCTAGATTTCTGAGCTTCTACTGTGACTTAAGTCTAACCTTTATTAGGTAATTACTTAAAATAATCAACAGAGACGCCTGAAGGATTGGCAATAGAAAGGGTGATCTGTAAATTTATTTAATCTGAAGATGGGAAAGCTCAGAACTGCTTGGTGAACAGTGGTTCTTCAGTTCCAGGTGATTTCTTCCTGTACCTTTGGAGGCTTCACGGCCCCATTAACAGCTTCCTGGGCTCTCCAACCTTTTTGTAACTTCATATCCAAAACTTAGCCTGTGGTGTTTCTACCATTTGGAATCTGACCTCCATCTTTCCTTTGACCTCCCTGTCTTTCCCTTTCTGACATATCTCTCATTTTTAAAAGAATGTATTTTATGGTCTAATCAAGTAAACCTTTCCGAGTTTGAATCCTGAAAGTCGTCTCATCTACTTCAACTCTTCCTAGTTTCTGCTAACGGCTCATCCATTTGTGGTAAACCGTGAAGGGGAGTAGAATTTGCCACCCCAAAATATACCTCTTTGGCATATTGAGTATCTTGAGCTGGTTATTTTTAAGAAACAGCAGACACAAGAGAAGCTCTGAAAACTGAGGAGAAGTTACCGTTTTGTAAGGGAAGTTTACATTAATAAAGGAAATCTTCCTTTCTAAGAGTGTCCCTCTCTCTCTCTCTCTGTACCTGGAAGGGAAGAATGACTAAGTATTTAGAAACTCTTATCCATGGAGAAGGCAAGGACTTACATCTGCATAATAACCATACCCTTATTGACTGTGCTTTTCCTGGAACCTCCTATAATTGCCCCCACGCCCCAACATCTTCTTTTGCTTTTAGCTGGAGATGGTATTTAAAATGGTGGCTTGAGCTATTTTGGGGAGTTTCTCAGTTTTCCTGGGTATCTCCCATGTATACAGGAGGCATGCACGTCATTAAAAAATTTCCGTTTGTTTTTCTCCTCTAAATCTGTCTTTTATTGCAGGAGGGTCTCAGCCAAGAACCTAGAAGTGTAGAGAAAAAAATTGTTTTCCCTCCCCTACAACTGTAAACTTCTAGAAGAAAAGAACTCTTACTCATTGTTGTATAGCCTCTTCTTCTAAGGCTCACAATCCGTAAGTGTTCAATACATATTTATTAAATTGAATTGAAATACTAATTATTTTAAATTTCTCACATGTTTTTCCGCGTTTCCATTTGTAACGGTCCTTTCAGCCACATCTCGACTTTAATTTCAATTATTTAAAACTCCGTTATCACTAATCTTAATACTTGATGTGAGCCTTTAACTAATTCAGTTTTCTCAAGTCATTCTTTTCCTCCCTGACTGGGAAAGTCAACTTTAAAAAATTAGTAGTTAAGGGGCCGGCTGGGAGGCACAAGCGGTTAAGTGCGCGTGCTCCGGGGCAGCAGCCCAGGGTTCGCCGGTTCAGATCCCCAGGCGTGCCCTGAGGCACTGCTTGGCAAGCCATGCTGTGGCAGTGTCCCATATAAAGTGGAGGAAGATGGGCACGGAGGAAGATGGAGGAAGAAGGGGATGTTAGCCCAGGGCCAGTCTTCCTCAGCAAAATAAAAAAAAAAAAAGAGGAGGATTGGCAGATGTTAGCACAGGGCTGATCTCCTCACACCCAAAAAAAAAAAAAATTAGTTAAGAAGAGTGCCCTGGGATCATGTGCATTCATCAGCTGAGTGCTTAGGATAAATTGTGGGTTTATTCCATTCCTCTAAATGAGTCTCTGGTTGGGAACTGTAACTCTGATTCATCTGAACAAACAATGATGTCAATCTCTTAGTAAACTCAATTGATTTTTCTGTTCAATTAAAGTCCATTTTCTAGACATACAGATAGTTATGTGCATGCCCACACCCACACCCACAGGTACTATCTTACACACAAAATGCATATAACCCAGTCCTTGCAGACTTAGGTAAATGTAAGCCAAATGTCCAATATCCCCATCTACACGTAGCTGTGCTTTGCCCATAATCTCTATAAATTCCCAGCTCGTTTCCCTTTGGCTCTTCCTGTCTCTGCTCTTGCATCTTTATAGATAATTAACTTGGAAAAATTGATGAGGGATTTCTGTAGTCAAAGCATATTTTGCAACGTAAACTCCAATTATAACACAAGCTTTGCCTAGAATTTGCGCGCTAATGAGTTGTCATATTTAACTAAACATGCTCCACATTGTAGTTACTGCTGATCTCACTTATAATCTTGTTTCTCACATCTAAGAA